TTAAACTCACGCACGCGAAGAACAATACCGAAGAACACACAAAATTTGGTAACCCACTTCACCACGAATGATTACGTCTGGGGGCGCTACCAAGTCAAGAATGTTATTAATATTTTCAGATCCACAAATTACAAAGGAGAAAGCTTGTATTTATAGAGAAGTAAAACCTAACCCCAAGGCAACTAGGACGCGTTTTCCGAAAAAAACCGTACGCCCCAAACTATACAGAATCCGTACGGCCCAAATTGTACGGACTGTACGGAAAACTTGATCGTCAAAAACGGACCGAAAATTTCGACCCGGGGGGCTTCACCCCTGGACCCCCCGAGGGGGGGGGGGGGCTGCCGCCCCCGTCCAACTCCTCGTCGAGTTGGATCGACAGATAGGGCTTGGTTATACAATCTTTAACACCTTACTATTACCATATAGAAAGGTTGCGAAGATCATACAAGGAAAGATGATATCCGATGAATCGAACCAGGGAGGCGCAATAGAGCATCGCGCAAAGCAGAAAGCCGATCGAGTGGGAATAATACCAATGGGCCGGGTACATAGGAATGAATTGGGCTCAAGGCAAAGTTGGCCCAATACAGCTACTGGATTCATAGATGTTGACGTGGATTGTATAAGTGATATGCTTCTTATTGCTTCCTTATACCATATAAGGGATTTGATGCCTTTTATGATGTAGGGAATTTTATAAAGAGTGACTACGTACTACTTATAAGGGAAGAATAAGAGAAGCTTGGTTGTTAGCATATATTAATGGGGTAGTGTGAAAATAATGACATTTATTATGAATAATGTAAAAAAATTGGGCCAAAATTTAGACACTTTTACAAAGTATAATACATAACTAATAGTCTAAGTTTTTTTGAAAGGAAAATGCTTATAGTAGAACCAAAAGAGACATTACAATAATCAAGACACCAAACCAACAATTCCCGACAAATCCACAATACCAAAAGCCCACCGCCCCCCTCACGTCATGTCCAGACATAGAATAGTCCACCACAAAAAAAGCGAGACTAAGAGCATCTCCAATGGTAAAATGTGCACGGTGCACACGTGGCATGAAAAATAGGCACATAAATATTAGTAAATAAATTCTTTCTCTCCTTATTTGAATGATTTTATACAGTTTTGGTAAGTTTTTCTCCACACTGTCAAGGAGACCGTCTAGATATTGACATTGTTGTTGACATTGCAGGGAAAAACTTACCAAAATTGTATAAAATCATTCAAATAAGGAGAGAAATAATTTATTTGCTAATATTTATGTGGCTATCACTCATGCCACATGTGCACCGTGGACATTATAGCATTGAAGATGCTCTAATCGTTGAGACGGAGAGAGTTAAGAGGCTATTAGCGGCTGTGACAGCCTAATTGCCTCTAACGCTATAAAACCTACTCAAAAACAAAACACCCACTACTCTCACTCCCTTATTGTAAGTAAAAATAAAAAAGCAACAAGCAACCGAGTTCAGAAAAGTAAAAATAAAGAAACAAAAATAAAGGTCGTAATAATGAAATGTACTAGTAATACTGAATTTCCTATAATGAAATGAACTACTCCGTAAATTGTTCCTATAAAAAAACGTACGGAGTAATAGTCTAAGGAGTTCTTGCTATGGAATTTCCCGAGTTTTAGAATTCCGGAATTTAGAAGATTTCATAAAATTTCAAATATTTTGAATTAGGAATTACATTCCTTCCATTAAATGAAAACACACGAATACTGATCAATTCTAGGTTCTTTTAGTTGTGTTAAAGAGTGGATTTCTATGATTTCATATACTCCATCCGTCCCTATATAAAAAGATTTAGTTCAATGACACACATCTTTAGGCGAAAAACTGTTTTTACCGTTTAACATTGTTTTGCACTGTTTTGTTTGTCAAAAAAGAAAAGGAGCCTTTTTATATAGGCAGGGAAAGCCCAAATAAGAAATCGAGTCTTTTTAGAGACGAAGGGAGTATAATCTAAAAATGCACTAACACATACACCCGTAAAAATCCAGCCACTTATTATCATCTCACTCATCACAAGGAATTCTAAGGAAAAAAAGAGTGATACCCAATCCCCGAACCGATCAAACACTTAATTGAGAATTTGAGATGGTGTAAATTGAACTTTAATCACAATGTGAGCGATGCTTGCTATCTAACTGTTGAGCTTCGCATGTGTAATTGCAAAGACCCATTATTATATAGTAACCTTTCACCGCAATTGTCGGGATTCGAATATGAGACTTACCCATTGTGCATTTGTGCTACTCTCAATCTACCAATTGAGCTACGCTCAGCGGACATGTGAAATGCCATAGAATCACCGGATTCCTATTACACAATGTGTAAAATATTCAAAAATTCTTCGAATATTATGGTGGGATATGATCTGTGTTCCAGAATACATTGGTTGTGGACACAAAAAGGAGCATCAAGACTGAGTATGGGCACCCCAACCCCATATGAAAGCAAGACGAAAAAGATTGTGGCATATATGGGCCTTGAGAAAGAGACCACTATGGGTATGAAAGAGTAATGGTGGGTGGGGTGCAAAGGTGGCGATGAAGTGAGAGGTGGGCAAAAGATGGGTCATCTAATGCCTGTGTCGGCAGAGCGGAAACGAACCATTTGCTCATCTCCTCCAACCCGGCAGCCTCTATTCATTATTAAATGAGTGAAGTGAATAGATGCCGTCCATATAGTGTTTCTCTTTGAGTGCACTACTCACACGAGCCACTTCTATTCTAATCTTCACAATGAAGCAATAATGCCTTGCACTTTGGATGGGAATCTTGTTACAATTAGGTTAATCCACATGGAATTGTTCTATGTATGGTATATTGGTATGACTTTGTAAACTCCATAGTGTGGTAAGTATCACGTGGATTTGAATCATTTGATAAATGTGTTCAATTGGCTTTCTTTGGGTCCCTAATATAATAATGGATATTAAGAGCCTAAGCTTGCTTACCTATTTTTTACTTAGATGTTTTATTATACATTGTTTTATTTCCCAACACTACACTTTTAATTCGGGTTGAGTTGTGTATTACGGATTAATCTTTTATAAGTCAAAGAGATGTGTGTTTCAATAAGCTAGTTACCAACTTACAAACTTATAGAGCTATAGATCAAAGGAGCGTGCACTTCAATAAGCTAGTTACAAACTTACAAACTTATAAATCAAATGGACGTGTGTTTCAATAAGCTAGTTACAAAGTTATATACATCAAAGAGATGTGAGTTTCAAAAAGCAAGTTACAAACTTGTAGATAGAAAATGAACTTGTGGCATGTTGAATTCCTACACCAGATACTTGTGAAGGAATTGAGTGCTATATTGAATTACTCCCCCTATCAGGTTTACCTTTTCAGATGGAATCCCAAGTTTTAACATGACTTCTATTATTTATCTATCATCTGCATAAATTTCAATCACACAATTTTTACTTTGTTATTTCTTGTGCCACTCAAATTTGATAAAGTTTCAAGGACGGAAGGAGTGTTAATTATGATCATTTCGGTCTTGTATTAATTGATTCTCAATATCCAGAATTGATCTCGTATCCATTTCAATTGGGGCAAGAATTTATATAACCTTTTAGAAACCTATTGTTCAATTCGATACCATGGTTCGATTTAATACGAATTCGGTTTGGCTTTTGTGCCCAATCCAAATTGAACCACACTTTCAAAGAGTGACAACATTCATATAAGAATAAAAATGTAAATTAAAATCTAATAAAGTTGGAAAACTTTACATGTGAGTGCAAATTTACTATGCAACTCACACTCTCTTATACTACTATTAGTAATTATACCATTGCATATGACCGAGGTCGTTGTAATTGTCATTAGTGTCGCTTTCTCCACCACCATTTTCACCATCGTCGATTGCTATTAGTGTCATCAAATGTCGATTGCTTCTCTTTGTGAATTTTCTTATGAATTTTCCCAATAAATAAGAAGAGATTCTAGTCAGTGGCGTATACAAACGGGGCAGGGGCAGGGGCAGGGGCAGGGGCACCCTTTGTATACGGCCATTTCCGTCCTTCAATATGATGAAATTTACGTAATTTAATTAACGCAATTAAATTTCAACTTTTCTAAAGTTACACTTTCACTAACGTGACTTACATTTCGATACGCCACAAGTTACATTAACGTGATTTAAATTTTGACTTGCCTCAAGATACATTTACGTTAATGAAATTTACATTTTGACTTGCCTCAAGTTACATTCTTACTAACACGATTTACATTTTGACTTGTCTCTATCTATATTTTGGATACATGCGGTTTACATTTGGACTTGAATTAAATTATATTTTGAGAATATTACCCTAAATAGGACTAAAAAGGTTTGAAAATTTCAAAATAGGACTGTCATGCTTTTATTCCTAAAATAGGACTAATTACTGCCATGTTTTGGAAGTACCAGACTTCAAACATGGCAGTATTTTCCAAACTTGGCCATAATTACTCCTATTTTGGGAATAATATACATGATAGTCCTATTTTGAAATTTTCAAACTGTTTTAGTCCTATTTCGGGAACTTTCCCTTATATGTTACACAAATATTGAAACAAAAACATGTTACTGTTCACCATGTACCTTTTTTATTTAAATCTAAACTTAAATGACATCATTTTCGTGTGATAATAATAGGGAAAACTATCAAATAAGCCCCCGTACTATGCCGAAAAAGTCGATTAGGCCCTCGTACTTTACAAACACTCAATTAAGTTCTCGAACTATTAAAAAACTTTCAATTAAGTCCTTTTGGTCGGTAAGTAACCGTTTTCCCGGTTAAACGGCGACGACGGCGACGATGTGCTCAAACCCTAGCAACGGCGGCTGACGGGAAACGGGTTACATATAACAAAAGTAAAAAACGGTATAATTAAAAACGTCCCAAATTTCCTTACCATTTTCTAATATATTTACAAAAAATATCTCTGTATCGATATCATTAACTCCCCTTGGCATCCCAAACTAATTTGCCTCAACCATAAATCCTCAAGAATGGTCCTTTCTCCAATAAATCGAGCTCTGTCTCCCTGTTCGTTATTATGTAGCGAGGCCCCAATGCTTCTTCATTATAGTCTATCGGTCTTCCAAGTCTAAGCATCTCTTTTTTCTGGATGGATTTTGAGGGGGAATCGGACGGTGGAGCGGTGGTGGCCTGTTCAGACAAAAATACTGCAACAGCAACAGCTAATACCCTGTTTTCTGCACCATCTTCTGATGCTGTTTCAGATGTTGACACAAAACAAAAATGGTATACATCTATTGGGTTTCAAGACCAGGAAAGGCCTTTTGGAGCTAATATTTCAGCTGAAGATGACTTGAGACCCTCAAAAGTAGCTAAAGCAGCCACTACCATTCCTATGCTGAGATGCCCTTTTGTGGGATCTGAAAGCCAGCAAATGCTAAGCTTCACTCCCCCCTACTACTATCACCCAGCTGCTTTTAGTGGAATAAACTCAGGTAAAATACTTCAAAGCTCCCAACTTTTTCACTGTAATGGTGGAATCTAGTCCCCTAGCAGTGCTCTAGGTTGCCCTTTTCTGAATATAAAAAGGGTTTCAGGTTTCATTCCAAGAAGAGTTTTTTCTGGTGTTTCTTTTCTTGGTCTTATTTGTGGGGGTGCGCCTTCAATGGAATAAAAAACAAACAGTAGAAAATAGAATATCTTTTTGTTGCATGTTTTCCATCTTGCTGTTTTGGGAAATGGGCTGTTCCAATTTTCAACATTTGTGTGCTAATCAATGAGAAATATTGTATTTTGATTAAAAGATTAATTTAAATTAGGTAGACAAAAAACTGTTGCAGCCTCCAAAAAATGTTGTTGATGGTGCTTTTCAAAGTACTGTTAGGATTTATTTTTCTGTTCTCTAATTCCATTTCCCACTCTCCTTTCCTTTACATATAAACCAAACAAAAGTTTAGAACCAAATGGATTTGTGTTCTTATGCAGGCTATGGAAGTGGAGGGATGAGTGGTGGAGGAAACATGCATAGAGTATTAAGTGCGGTGAAAAGTCCATTCACACCCTCACAATGGATGGAATTAGAACACCAGGCTTTGATCTACAAGTACATCACTGCCAATATTCCCATTCCTCCTCATCTTCTCTTCCCCATCAGAAAAGCCTTTGAATCTGTTGCATTCTCAACCTTTGGCCTTGGATCTAATTCGTGTGAGTCATCTTTGCTACTTTGTATGATTAATTTTTAATACTACACTTATTTCTGTTACATTTTACAATATTAAGTGTAAGGCATGTAGTAAAACAAAATGAAAGATAGAAGATAAAAAACAATGTCAAGTAAGCTTAAGAAATACTCCGTACCAGATGTAACCTATCTATGTCTTTTTAAACATTTATAGTAATAGTTTCCTAAAGGGAAACTGAAGTTTTAAATGGAAAACTCTAAAAAAAGCTAGTAAAAGTGAATAACATTTTACTTTTGTTCTTCAACAATAGATAAAATAAAATATGAAATATGATGTAGCAAAGACATGACTACATGGAGTACAATAGTAAATGAGGAAAGAAAAATATAGACATGCTAAAACGTAATTTTAAATAAAATATAGGAAAGGAAAAGAGAAGGAAATGGGTAATTATGTAAAATAAAATTAAGGGTATTTGTGAAAATAATTTCTTTATTTTTAACTTTAAAAAACATTACCCCCTTGTGCATTATGTTCAGGACGAAATGGCATGCCAGCCAGTATAGGGGGAATTGTGTGGTTTCTTAGAATGTAGGTTTTTCCAAGCACATAAACTTTGCCATACATGATTTTAGATGCACTTTGGGACATGCTAGTATGGTAAAGTGCCACAAAAAATATAGGACATACCCATAGATCAATTTAAATGATTTAACAATTCATACTATAACTTTCATACCCCCATAAAGTACACACTCAGTCTCATATCAAGATTCTCTGTTCTGTTTATGATGGCTAGTTAATGATAAAATTGTGTGGATTGGCAGCGGGATGGGGTGGTTTCCGACTGGGATTCGCGAACAACAGTGATCCAGAGCCAGGGAGGTGTAGGAGAACAGACGGGAAGAAATGGCGGTGCTCAAGAGATGCAGTCTCAGAGTACAAGTACTGTGAGCGGCATATGAACAGAGGCCGCCAGCGTTCAAGAAAGCCTGTGGAAGGTGCTCTATCTGGTTCCCATGCCTCCGCTGCCTCAACAGCCAAGCCATTGTCGGATGCTGTAGCGTTTGGAGGTCGTGCGTCTAACGGTCTAGGCTTCTCAAATCTGCTCAACCATGTGCAGCCACCTGCAACCAATCCTTCTGCTTCTCATCTTGAGAGGTAGATCACATTCGAGCGTATAAAGCACTTCTTTATCAAACACTAATTAAATCGCCTTGAAATGAAAATAATTGATGGTTAACCTCTTACCTTTAATTTTTATTTAATAGAAATAATTTTAAAATGAAATAATGACAAATAAATAATCAAAATAAAAGTAATAAATACTCCGTATATTACACTATGGTGGTGGTTATGATGGTATTTTCATAAGTTCCAGTGATAGTCATATTTTTATTCATTATTTCTATTTTAGTACTCCGGTGGTGGTTATGATGGTAGTAATATTATTGGAAACACATATTTATAGTACCTTATCTTAGATATATCATTTCAACATGTTTTTATGTTTCAAAACATGAGACATTTTAGAGATTTGAGGTTGTACTCCTGGATCATTACTCTTGACTCTTGTCCATTTTGTTAGGCACAATTTACTTTTCTGTGTCTCAATATTAGAATCAATTTTCCAATCTGACCACCATTAACATTTATTTTCAAATTTTATTCTCTTAATTACTTCTGTACCATTTACTTTATCTGGACTCTATTCTTTTTTAGAACATTACAAATGTGAAATAATATTTATTTAATTAAAGGGTGTGCTATAAACATTATGAAATAGAACATATAGATAAAAATGTGATTCAAAGTTACTATGGTCACTATGCTAAGGCCTAAGGTTACTATTATGATTACTAAGAAGTTATTTTTTTTCTTAAAAAAAGAAGATATTTTTTGCACACTATTTTTATTTTAGTCATATATTAGCCATTATTTCTAATTAAAATTGTGTCACATGCAAATTTATACTCCGTATTGCATTTGGGTATGGAGGCCTACTTTTGAAAGAAATCCAAACCTGCCTTTACCATATTTAATACTCTACTTCATTTCCATTAAGTTTTGGGCCATAGGCTTTTATGATTTTATCCCTTGTGGGATTAAACAAAGGAAGAGTGTAAACTTGTATTTTAATCTTTTAATAATTGAGGTCTTCTTATGCTTTGTTTGAATTTCTTACCATTACCAATACTGGCTCTTCCAAATTCTTGATCTCATAATTACGCCTTAAAGGAAACCAGGACATGCATAAAAGTCTAGCAGCATCATGGTTAATCTCCTTTACACAGAATAGGACTATAATTGATTCTCTTTAACATTTTTTTGTCTTTTCACCAGCAGAAGCTTTTCAGAGAAGGAATATGAAGGTGGGAGTAAGCATGAGAAGGAATCTCAATATCCCCTTCGCCAATTCATCAATGAGTGGCCCAAAAACCATTCTGATCGTCCTTCTCTTTCATGGCCGGAGATTGATCCACTGCATTCACAGGAAATTGAAGCAACCCAAATGAGATTAGGTGTGGGAAACATTAGAAATGAGGAAAACGAGAGGGAAACGAATTGGATTCCTATATCCTGGGAGTCTTCCACAGGAGGACCGCTCGGGGAGGTTTTCCATGGAACAAACATCGAATCAAAGGATTCATCTTCCGTTAATCCGATGACATCGGGATGGAATAGTAACAGGATTCTTGGAGCAACTCTCTTGAATCCTTCCCTACCCGCTTTGTAACCCCTCATCGTCATCAAAGATGCATGCTATTTGGTTAGGTTAATCCAAAGGAGTTCTGTATCCTCCCCTTTTTGGGTTTTTATTGGATTAGTCTAGCTCATGTGAAGTTAAAGATATGTTGTTTTCCCTACAAGATCCATATCTATAATATTTTGAAGAAAGATGTGATTCTAATAATCTAACATTTTCTTGATCTGCTTATAAGAGTCTCATCTTTCTACTTGTAAGTTGTAACAGTCTCATCTTTAATTATCGCGAGAATAATCTAACTTTTGTTGCTTCCTTCTGAGTTCTGATATTTGTTAAGGAACATTCACTCTAATTATAGTGTGTTATATGGAGGAGTAAGAAAACATAGGCAAAAATGTCAAATAAGTCCTTAAACTTTCAAAAAAGATCAAATAAGTCCTTATATAGGAGGCTCTGTCCGCCCGTCGCGATTTGGGGCGGTTCCCGGTGAAATTTTTTTATGAAACTTTTTGAACATCTTATTCATCAAGTCTAGTTTACTCATACCAAATTTAAGCTAAAACTTCAATCGGGAACGCATTCAAATTAATTTTTGAAGATAAATGAGCAATTATCTTCAAAAATTAATTTGAATGCGTTCCCGATTGAAGTTTTAGCTGAAATTTGGTATGATTAAACTAGACTTGATGAATAAGATGCTAAAAAGTTTCATCAAAAAATTCCACCGGGAACCGCCCCAAATCGCGATGGCCTGACAGAGCCTCCTATATAAGGACTTATTTGACCTTTCTTTGAAAGTTCGAGGACCTATTTGACAGTTTTCCCGAAAAGATAAGCTTATTCTTATGATTATGAGACTATTGTAAACTGAGAAAAAAGGTTGAATTATTGGAATCAAATTTTCTTTTTTAACCATTTAGTTCATATGTAACGGCTCTCTCAGAATTTGATTCTTTAGGCATGTGATGTTGTCAGGTTTGGTGGGGAGTTGCAATCAGTTTATTTTGCTTTTATTTATTTTCTAAATTATATTTCTAGTCGGTAGGAATCATGTTGGTGGGTGGGGTGCAGTAATTTATGAAGGAAGTGGTACAACCTCATGGAGTGTTATACTGTTATAGTGTTTTTTCCATTTTCCTCTTTATAGAAACCATTCTTTTATTATGGTGGCAAACCAATTTGACATATTAAAAACCAAAAATGATTTGTATTCTATGCTTTCTAATGCAATGATCTGTTTCCTAATAAGGAAAGGATGAACCCCAAGTCCCCAACTCATGCTTATAGAAAAAAACGAAGACAACTCATCTATAATGACTCCTAGCATCTGTCGAACAATTTATATGTATAGATCTTCTAGCATCAATCCCATAGTTAACTTATATGGAGTACGAATAAAATCAAATTCTCACCATAATATAATGGACATGTTGTGGTGTCTCTATGAGAATGGTCTATTTTGAACATCTATACAACTCTGTTTTTTCAAATTATTATGGCAAAAGGGTCAAATAGACCCTCAAACTTACATAACAAGATCAAATAAGCCCTTATATAGAAGGCTCTGTCCGACCGTCGCCATTTGGTGTGGTTCCCGATGTAATTTTTTGATGAATTTTTTTGAGCATCTTATTCATTAAGTCTAGTTTAATCATACCAAATTTCAGCTAACAATTCAATCGGCAAGACATTCAAATGAATTCTTGAAGATAACTGATCTTTTAAGTGCGCAGTTATTTTCAAGAATTCATTTGAATGTCTTCCTAATTGAATTTTTAGCTGAAATTTGGTATGAGTAAACTAGACTTAATGAAAAGATGCTCACAAAATTTCATCAAAAACTTCCACCAGGAACCGCCCCAAATGGCGATGGCCGCACAGAGCATCGTATATAAGGGCATTTATGACTTTTTTACAACTACAAGTATAAAGAAGGCAAAGACAACTACAAAATGCATGATCCCTTATATTGTGTTATAATGAAGGCAAAGACGACTACAAGTGACGAGGTATGACAATATATGTCTATCAAAAGAGGCAAGGGTGGGAATGAGAGATATTAGGCCATTAGCCACATACCAAATGCATGATCCCTTATATTGTACTCGGAGTTTCAAAAATATTAGTCACCTATACTTCTTAAAGCATGAATAAAACAATATTAAAACGTAAATTATTAAAATAAAATTATTTGATAATGACAATAGTAAACACAAAGAATTTATTTGATAATGCAATATCCGCGCACAACATACAAAACAATACTCCCCCCATCCCTAATAATTTTGTCAAGTTTGACTGACATGAAAAACAATAAAATAAAAACTGTGTGGTTGAAGTTTGTGTAGAGGAGAGTGAATGAATTGGAACCACAAATTTTTTACTTAAAAGGGAAAGTGACAAAGTTAGTGAGACATCTAAAAAAGAAAGTTGATAATAAGTGACGAGGGACAGAGGGAGTACTTATTAGAAAACGTAAGGGTGGCCGAATTAGAGGAGTAGGTAAGCTAGTGATCGAGAAGTCACGAGTTTAATCCCTCTGCCAATACTTCAGATCTGATGAGAAAGATTCAGATCAGATTAGATTGGACATATTTAAGATTTTAAACCATAACAGATCAGAAAGATTCATATCAGATTAGATCAAGTTGGAACATTCTTATCAGATCAGATCAAATCAGATCTTAAAATTTCGCATAAAAAACAAAATTATTTGGTGGAAAATACATTGATTTCTTTTTTGTGGTTAGGACTGTAGCCTTTTTTCACCTCAGGACGGCCTTGCGTAAGTATTGCACAACATCCAGATTGTACAATATGGGTGAAAGAGGACTTTCCACTCACTAACTATAAGCTGCTGGGCCATCTAGCTAGATTTTTTCCAGCCTGTTTACATCTTCTTCAATTCCCTTTTACTATTAGTGCTCTCTTATCTTCGATCACGCTCTGTTGATGGTGGGTCATTGCACAGGGGATTCCGTGTGACAGATCATAAGGTGATGAGATGCTCCCCATTTTGAGTTTCTTTCCTTTTTAGTTGTGTCATTTTCATAGACTATGCGTTGCAGGCTTGCACTTGATCACTGGTCTTGTAGTTATTGAGTCATTTTTTTCAAGTGAAAAAGACTTCAATAGAAGAAACAAAACATAGATCAAGTAATTAAATAAGAGTAATTTACCTCCTTTTTTACCTAATAGGAATAAAGATGTTTTTTTTAATTAAATGGATTTTTTCTATCTAATCTGATCTAGTAATTATCAGGCCAAGCACTTTGTGGTTCGATGGAATGACTGTGACACTCCCAAGGAGGAGGTCACAGGTTCGAAACTCATCTCAGTTAAGGAAGTTGGCATTTAACATTGGAGTATTGAACAGATACTATAAGAGAGACTAAAAAGTCTAGCAAAAAAAATCTAATCATTATCATGTTCATGTTTATTTTAATATTGTTTGAATTTGATATGATTTGTATGGTCTCATTTCAATAATTTGTATGAGATTGAAATCAATTCAACTAAAAATCAAAGTTCAAATTATTGAAATAAGGGAAAACTCTCTATTGTGTAACAACAATAGTATATTTATTTTTTCAAAAATATTATGTGTAGTATTAAAAAACAAGAGTAGTATGTTTTTATTGCTTGAAAAGGAGGAAGTTGTTGCATGTCATCCTTAAATTTTAATGTCATATTTTGGTGGTGTCATGTTTTAATATTGCATTATTACTCTCATGATTAGCTACATTTTTCAAGCATGACAGTAAATAATAAAACACATTCTGTTCCTATTCTAAAATATCAATATCTTTAACCTACTATTTATGACAATTTCTTTTCAAATTATCACTCGCCACCGCCAATGTCATGGCTGGCCGTCACCACTTGTGCTTTGAGGACCGCAAATGGTCATCTGTTGACTGCCACATGTCTTCTGTGAACTCAGGTAGTTTCGCGGTGACTACCAACAATCTTCCAATGACCTCAATCGAAGACTGTCACTGTCGAATTCTATATAATTAATCTAATCTAGTGTGTGTGTATATAGTCTTTGCACAATTTACAATTGTCAAAGGGTAGTCTAATGTATTTAAGTTTAGTTTATCCGGGAAGTTTGGAACTTAAATTAGTCCGAGTAAAACATCCTTAGGGTATGTTTGGTTCAAGGTAATCACCTATGCAGGCCGGAATCTCATGCCCGGGATCTGAAATATCCGTGTTTGGTTCGTAGGTTTATTTTTATGGGGGGAATGTCACATTCGAAAAAGAAGAGAAAGTAATAGGATGCCCCTTTATCTCAAACTCACTCAACTCTTATGTTATCTTACATTCCTTAGTGGGAGTGAATTTTATTCCAAAAATACCCATTCTCATTTAACCAAAATGGTTTAAATAGCATACAGAGTATTTATTTTTTATTTTTCTTAACCCATCTGCATTGGAATTTTTTTAAACAAACCCATCCATATTGGATTAAGAAATACAAAATGTATACTTTTGAATTTGATTTATTAAAAATTAATGAAATAATTACATATTTATGACTAAAATAAAGATTGTTTACAAAAATGTGAGAAGTGACTACAGTAGTAATTTAATCATAATAACTTATATTAAACTTTTAAACTTAAATGATCATGATAACTTAATATATGAGGAGGTGGTGTTATTATTAAGAAAAAGGAGTTAATGTGGTTGATAGTGAATTACTCCGTAATAAATTTAGAATATGTAAGAATGATTTAGAAGGATCAAACATTAATTTTTTTCACTAGTGGTTGATAGTGAGTTACCTTTAGTAGGAGTAAAATATAACATGCAACTTTTCCTTAAATAGGAGTCAATATCTAATATTTCCTAAGTAGGATCAACCATTAATTTTCTACCCCTAATCTAATTAATTAATTGTCCCCTAAGTCCTTGAATAATCAGGTCATTCTATTGGTGACATGTGGTCAATTGATTTTTTTATCGATGAAAAACGTAGGCTCCTATCGATGAAGACATTCTTTCTCGAGACCCCAACGATTGTAATAAGGGTATTACGAAAAAATATTTTTAAGGGCATTAAAGTAATTCACCAAGTTTTTTTTGTATAATATATGATTTAACCAAACAAATTAATGTCACATTCCTTTAGTCTTAACCAAACACAAATGGGTACAAATTGAATACATTCCCATCAATCTAACATTCCCGTGGTAATATGACATTCCTTGAACCAAACATACCCTTAATAATAACATTGAGAATATCAAATTTTAGCTCTTTCAAATAGTTTGACTCAAGTCACACTACTGTACACACATAATGTGATTTCTTGTGAACGACATTATTATTTGTAATATAGGAATCTCACGAATTGTTGAAGCGAATCCGATGTATTATTTTCACAAGGGTTTGGGATGATAATGAGGTATCAACAAATAAGATAATTTATTCAATTATGGGAAAACGGGTGCATAATTTTGATAGACAATCAAAAACATTTTATCTACCAAATGCCAGTCGAATAATTGTTTCTGGGAAGAAGATTGAAAAGAACAAGACTGACGACGATGACTTGAGAGCGCTGGGAGGAGTATCAAACTTGAAGTCTGTCTGTCTTACAAACAACCAGGTTTGGATATTTTGTTCTTTTTTGTTTCGGGCGTTAGAACTTAGAATTGTGTAATAAGCAGAAAAAGTAATGTTAGAAGTTACTTTTCTGATTGTATTGGCTTAAATTACTGTAGATCATCATTTTAGCTATTTTTACATACTCTCTCCGTCCCCCAATTAAGTTCTCCATTTCTTTTCACACCTATAAAGAAAAAATATTTACTGGGGGTAAACTTTACTGTTTTGACACCGATTGAACACTGTTTGGAACTGTTTGACACTGTTTTGATGTAGTAATTTGCCAAATAAGGAAAGAGGAACTTAATTCAGGGACTACCCAAAAAGTAAAGGTAGGACTTAATTGGGGGACAGACGGAGGATAATTTTTTCTTTATTTTATTAATAAAACATATTTTTAAAATAATGTTTTCTTAAATCATTAGAATCAGCCAATGCAGCCACTTCAGCCAGAACTTATAAATTTCAGCAAAATTAGCCAAATCAACCGATTTTCGTGCTACCAAAATCGAAGCGGAAGAGCCCGTTTGGTGACTCTGTTTTTCGACTTATGAGGCCCATCAACCAACTTTTTAACCAAATATTTGACTTTTAATTTCACGCGCTGAATTGTGTAATACTACGTAATAAGAAAAGGTAAGGTAAGAGTTGTTTCTCTGAATGTATTTGCTGAAATTAGTGTAGAGGACCATTTTAGCTATTTTTGATATTTTTTATTTTATTAATAAAAGGTATTTTAAATATAATTTTTTCATAAATCGACAAAATCGGCTAATAGAGTCACTTCATCAAGAACTTCATAAATTTCTGCACAATTAGCCGATTCAGTCAATTTCAATGTTACCAAACGGGTTCGAAAATAATAATCTTTTTTATTACTCTGTATAAAACATCGACATTTGGCAGATAAAATGTTTTTGATTGAATTGAAATTTTCTTTGGTGATCTGTGGTGATCTGTGCGAAATAATGGAACAGGATGCTCTCTAAGGAGCCTTGGCAGATATATTTATAGTAAAAAGTTTAAATGTAAAAAAACATAAATATCCCTACTTAATAATTCTATTAGTCCCTCTCAATCTGTGCGGGAGAAACAACGCGCAAGTTGTCCTTTAAAAAATGAAAACGCTGACTAGGGAGGCTCTTAGTAAAGATATATGTCAACTGTAAATGAGTAGGAAAGTGTCGAACAACCAGGTCTCCATGAGCAACACGTTCGCGAACAAAATGATAGTCAATCTGTATGTGTTTACTCCGGGCATGCTGGATAGGATTAGCAGTCAAGTAGGAAGCAGAAACATTATCACACAACAAATGGACCGGTTCAATAATTGGGGATCCAAACTCAAATAATACTGATCTGATGTGCAAGGTATCCTAAACTGTGTATGCAATGGCACGATATTCGGCTTCCGTAAATGATTTGGACATTGTAGGTTGCTTCTTGGACTTCCAGGAAACCAGATTAGGACCCAAAAATACTGTAAAACCTGTGGTTGACCGAGAGTTGACTGGACAACCAGCCCAATCTGCATCTGAATAAGTCAGCACACACGTGGGTTTCTTAGAACGTTGAAGCCATAGTCCATGATCACGTGAGTGGTACGAGGGGCATGCATGAACTGAGACACTAAGCGTACTGCATAAGTAATATCAGGCTGTGTCAAAGTTAAATATTGTAACGCACCTACCATGTTGCGATACTCAGTGGCATCCGAGAGTAACTCATCATCAGATAGGAACAGAGTGGTGCGAGATAGGGCTGTTAACGAGCCTAACTGAGCCCGAACACCCAAAGCTCGAGTTCGGCTCGATAAGGAATTAGGGGTGTTCGGGTTCGAGCTCGAAGCTCGGCGAGCTTTACAAATGAAGCTCGTGTTCGGCTCGATAGGCGTTCGATGTTCGAATCGAGCGCTCGATAAGCTCGATATATATGCTCGTGCTCGAATGATTCGACAAGTATTCGGTTCGTTAATAATCATATTTAAATTCATAAAATTATACTAATTATATTTAAATTTTGAATATATATAAATTATTTTTATAATTTAAGGGTGTTCGATAGGCTCGAGTTCGAAGCGAGCCGAATACTACTATGTTCGAGCTCGGCTCGATTAATTTTTCGAACTTATAACTCTGCTCGGGTTCGAGTTCGAAAGCTCATTAAGCTCGGCTTGTTAGGTTCGAAACTGAGCTCGAACTCGAATAGTTCGATAACAGCTCGGTTCGTTAACAGCCCTAGTGCGAGAGGCTAACAGAGTGCGAATGGGTTTAACGGTATGGAGATGAAAACAGGTGAGAAGATGAGATACATACTTATTTTGAGAAAAAAACAGACCTTTGAGAGACCAAGTCGCCTCAACACCCAAGAAATAATGGAGATTACCTAGATCCTTAATAGGAAAATGATTAGAGATAATAGAAATAAACTGGTCAATTGTAGACTCAGAATTGCCAGTAATAATAATATCATCTACATATAATAATAAATAAATAATACTATTAATATGGCGATAAATGAATAATGAATTATCAGACTTACTACAACAAAATTGATGTTGTAGGAGAAAGCTACTAAATCTATGAAACCATGCTCGTGGTGCTTGCTTAAGACCATAAATATCCTTGCGCAAACGACACATATGATTAGAAAACTGAGGATGATGCCATCCAAAACTGTTGATAAGGTTTCCGAGGCCGGTTTGGAAGATGCCGAAAGGGTTGTGATGCATGAAAAAGATTTGAAGTTAAATGACGTTGTCATCAAATGTGCGGTCATAAACGGTAAGACACTAAAGCTAGCTGTGAAACCATTTAAGTTCGTGCACGCGAGTGTGATTAGAGTGGATACCTCCCTTCGACTTACAGATGATTTGGATAGGAAAGGCCTTACTTTCACGGCCAAATGTCTCGATGGGATGCCGGGAGTTACTAAGAAAAAAGGTGAGGTTTGTTTCGACTCAAAGTTCACTTCTCCTTTCCGAGCTTTCTTTGGACTTTAGATTAGGAACTCCTAATATTCTGTTGTAGTAGCTTGATTTATTGTGTGAACTTTATTTTTGATCCTACTGTATTTGGGTCCAAAATGTTGATTTGGGAGGAGGGAATGTTTGATTTTGTGGTATCCTATATACTGGGATATGCACTTTGCTTGTAACATTGAATTGTTATTTTCTTGAGTGTTAATATATACTTACATTTCATCCAAAAAAAAAACTAAGGATGAATAAAACCACGAGGTTGATGCATATAGTCTTCTTCTGTAAGATAACCATGCAAAAATGCATTTTTAACATCAAGCTGACGTATAACCCAACCAAACGATACTGCAAGAGAAAGAACAATACGAACTGTGGTGGGTTCATAAACAGGACTATAAGTTTCAGAAAAATCAATACCAGCCTGTTGATTAAATCCCTGAGCAACTAATCTAGCTTTATGCCGTTCAACTGACCCATCAGAATAATATTTAGTCTTATAAATCCACTTACAACGAACAATATTCTTAGAATTGTTAAAGGGCACCAGATCCCAAATGTTGTTATTAATGAGTGCATTAAATTCACCAGCCATTGCTTCCCTCCATTTTAAATGTTTATTGGCCTTAGTAAAGCAAGTAGGATTTGTCTGACTAACAACTGTACTCAAGTTAAAAATGGTTTTTGGTTTAAAAATACCCGTTTTAGCTCGGGTTTGCATATGATGCACATTACGGACCGGAGGTGGTGCAGCGGAACCGATTGGGAAAGGTGAGGTCTCGGCCGGGATAGAGGAGTTGAGTTCGATGGTGTCACAAACTGGTGTCCTAGGGGTTGAGGGTGAGCTACTGGCAGGGGAAGACGACAACCTCGAGTTGCTGGTAGAGACGGGTGAGGTCGCGGTCGAGGGTGGGGAGGAAGGGTCATGCAGATGGCTTAAGGAGGAAACAGGACTGAATGGATTAACGGGTCTAGTGGGAGAAGGTGTCGACCTGGAAAGAGTGGGCAATGGGGTTTCGCGGTCAGTGGGTAGAGCTATGACTTTGTTTGGAAAAGAAGTGTAGGAAGGATGAACAATATGACCACACTTAGGGAGTGTTCGGAAGGGGTATGTGTCCTCATGGAACCTAACATGACGGCTGACGTAGACGCGACCGGTGACCGGATCATAACAACGATAGCCCATATAACCAGATGCATAGCCAAGAAAAACACACCGAACGGACCTTGGAGAGAGTTTATTGACCGAAGAGGCCGTAAAATTCGGGTAACTAAGCCGTACCAAGCACACGCATAAAAGAATAATTCGGGACACGGTGAAATAATTTTTGATATGGGGAGGAGCCGATTAATGTAGGAGAAGGTAATCTATTACTAATATATACAACACTAAAAAGTGCATCAACCCAGAACTGACTCGGAACTGAAGCCTCGAGATGCATAGTGCAAGTTAATTCTAGCAGATGACAATGTTTACGCTCAGCAACCCCATTTTGTTGGGGTGTGTCAGGACATGATTTTTGAAAATAAATACATTATCCGTAAAAAACTGCTGCATATTACGATTAACAAATTCACCCCCTCCACCACTTTGAAAAATTTTAATTTTCTGATTAAAAAGATTTTCAACCAAAACTTTAAAATTTTTAAAGTGCATAAAAACTTCACTTTTGTGACACATGGGATAGATCCAAGTAAAACGAGAATAATCATCAATAAAACAAACATAATACTTGAAACCCAAATTGGAAGAAATTGGAGATTGCCACACATCAGAATGAATAATTTGTAAGGGAAGAGATCAATTATGACTAGCATCCGTAAAACGCAAACGTTGTGATTTTCCTAATCGACAAGCCACACAAGCATGGGTAAAAGGAGTATGATTACACAAAACTTGTTGACGTTTAAGAAACTGTAAAATAGTGTCACTACAGTGACCTAGTCTACAGTGCCACATAGGGCCAGAAGCCAAAACAGAAGCTAAAACTAAAGGTGATGATGACGGCAGGCGAAGAGGATAAAGAGGTCCACTACTGATAGCTCGTAGAAGCACCGTCCCCGAGCCTCGGTCCTTAACCAAACAAAGAATTTTTATCAAAAATGACAGTACAGTTGTTATCAGCACATAATCTTTGAATAGAAATTTAATTGTATTTTAACTAAGGCACGTGATAAACAAATTTTAATTTAAGGGGACGACCAGATGAAGGTAAAGCAACATCACCAATATGACGAATGGGTAAATGGGCACCATTAGCAACACTGAATGAGTAAATGGGCACCATTAGCAACACTGACAGAATCGAAGCCATTGTAACCAGAATTATTAATTAAAATACCTTCTGTTGTTGTCATATGAGCAGAAGCTCCCGAATCAGGATACCATAAAGCAAAATTAGATTCCTCGGGAGTAGTCAAGAGAGCTGGTGCAGACTGTTGAGTGAAACGAGATGGACAGGCAATGGCAAAGTGACTTGCATAAAAACAAATTCGACATACAACGGGATGGGGAACTGACCCAAGAACACCCCCATCTGATGGCGAGTCTACGGAATCCAAGTTAGTAGCACAAACAGGTAAAGCATTAATATTTAAATGTGACACAGGAGAATTACGAATAACAGTCCCCCGAAGAGTGCACACCCCTGATTGTGGAGCATACCCAGCCGGAATGTGCACACCACCAGCTCCTGCGGCGAACATCGGTGGCTGGCCATGCTAGGGATAACAGTTGATTGGCTGTCCATAATGTTGCTGCTGTTGACCGCGTCCCCGACCACCACGGCCACGACCTCCGCGCTCTCGGCCACCACGGTCACGCTGCCCCTGCTGTTGTTGGCATACGCGGGAGGCCACTGCCCCTGCTGATGACCGCCTGCTGCTGGCCCACCTGCTGACCAGGATGCAGACTGGGTTGCTGGGCTTGCGCACCGAAGGCCTGATGCATTGAAGTCTCTTGGGACCTGAGAGAAAGAACTCTTTGTTCTTGCTCCAAAAGGTGAGTTCGCAATGTCTCAAAAGGAAAGTTTTGTGGAAATAAAGACACCGTCTTGACAATAGATTCATATTCAGGTCCCAACCCCATAATTGTGGATTTCAGCAGTTCTCAGGGAGGAACATGGCAAATGATATTATTAAGATCATCAGCTAAAACTTTAATTTCTCGCAAGTAATTATCCATAGACTGATCAGGTTTCTTTTTAAGTTGACTCAGCAGACGCTTTAATTCCATAGACCGTGCTAAACTAGCAGACATAAAACGAGATTCTAACCGTTCCCAAATTTCAGAAGAGTGTTTTAAATCCCGAACATCAATAAGAACATCACGTGACAGAGTAGCAAATAACCAGGAACGAATCGTTTGATCAATTTGTAGCCAAGTGGAGAAGTCGGAATTGAGAAATTGACGATTTAGAAAGTCTTTGGAATAAACGGAGGGTACCTGAATGGAGCCATCAACCATGCCGAGAAGACCATGCGAGACCAAAAATGACTCAAACTGGGTCCGCCAAGTAGTGTAATCCTCCACGGCCTGAAGCTTGGTTGTGACAATATTGGTGACGTTAGTAGCCACATGGGAGATTGTTTGAGCAAGTGCTGCCAATGAGGAGTCATTGTTGCTGGCCGTGATGTTCCGGAGAGGGGGTAAAGTGGAGGACACCCCTGGCGAACCAACGGAAGTCGTCCCAACAAATAATCTAGCCGAGAGAGGAGGCGGGTCAGGGGCGAGAGACTGCACCGGAGAACGGGCTCGCCACAAGAAAACGGGCGGTAGATTCTGAAACAGAGAATACGCCCCTGAGGCGCGGCTTGGTGATGCAATGCGAGAAGAGAATGATACTCTGGATTCGACAGAACGGGTGACGGCCGGCTGCGATCCACCAGATACAGGAGCGCCGGTCGTTGAGATGATGTGTGCCGCGGCAAAAGACGAAATCGCGGCAGAGGAGGTTGCCGTCGATGATGATGCGGAAGCCATTGTGGTCGAGGAAGACGACATGCTGCGCGGCAGACGTAGAGAGAGAATTGAACGAGAGAGAGAAAAAATAGGTTTTTAGTGTGCTCTTGATACCATGTGAAATAATGGAACAAGATGCTCTATAAGGAGTCCTGACAGATATATTTATAGTAAAGAGTTTAAATGTAAAATTACATAAATATCCCTACTTAATATCCCTACTTAGTAGTTCTATTAATTTGTGCATCTAACGATCCGGTATAGCTAATCCTTGTGGAAAACTGGAAACGCAAATTATTGGTGAGTTCATATCTCTCATTTATAAGATTTGTATATCAAATAATTAGAGGGGAAGAGACTCACATGTTACACTCATTTATTTAAGTCGCATGTCAGAATGAATGTTATCACTCATGTTATACGGCTCAAATGTTATTTAGGGGTGTATTGTATTAGGAATTAGTGGCAAAATTTTAAAAGTTCATGAATTTTAAAAGTTTAGGTGTATTCAATGTGAACTTTTAAAAGTCCACAAAAGTCTAGGTGTATTCAATGCGGACTTTTAAAAGTCTATAAAAGTCCAGGCGTACTCAAATTTCCGTTCATTCTTATTGACTTCTAAATTCATGGATTCTCGTGGACTTTTTAACTCATTTTTAGTGCAAAAATTCTCTCCAATTGTCTCTTCTCCTCACCAAAGATTTCCATGGACTTTTCTTATATCGGTTCTTCATCCCGTCCCACCCCATTCCTCCCTCCCTCCTAGGGATGGACCGGGCCAGACCCGGTTTCGGTTCCGAGTCGGGTCTGGCCGGGCTTGGAATTTTTTGGGTAAGGCCCGGGACCAGCCCGGGAGTCTACTGGTATCAGGCCGGGCCAGTTCCGGGTTGGGCCGGGCCAGTTCCGGGTTGGGCCGGGTTGGGCCAAGCTGGTTCATTTTTTTGGGGTTTTCTTATATATTCCAACCCTCACCCCCCAAACCCCTCCAAAACACCCAGCCTACCTACCATAGGCCCAACCCCCCAAAAAAACAAAAAAAAAACGAATAAGGCCCGGATCGGGCCCGAACCGGCCGGACTGGTCCTCAAATATGCAGTTCTGGAACCGCCCCAATTACCCCCCCCTCCCCCCCCCCCCCCCCCCCCCGGGTCGGGCCTAGGCCCGGTACCGGTACCGATCCAATGGGCCGGGTCGGACCCGCACAGTGGCGGGGCGGGTCGGACCCGCACAGTGGCGGGCCGGGCCGGGTCCCGGGCCAATCAGACCGGCCTCGGGCCAAGCCTACTCCCCCCCTCCCCCAACTCTACTCTTCTTTAGCCAAGCCACACCTTCCCCTTCAATCTTTCTTCTTTTTCTTCTTCAACCCAGCTCGCCCC